AAAGTCGCCCAGCATCCTGGTAATGCCTGGTGATGGCTCCTCCAGCTGTCCCTTAGCGGGCGACCTTATTTCCTCCTCCCTATAAAAGCCGGAGCGTCCTTCATGGAGGCCTCATTGAAGAGCTCGTACGAGATCGATCGAAGTCCCACTCGGCATGTGGCGAGTGGCGAAAGCAGCACACTCGGACAACGATTGCGAATTCGATCTATGTATGTATAGCGCGGACAGCAAAGTACTCGAGCCTACATACGTATGTATATAAGGGCGGTCCAAAAAATGAAATTTTGTTTTCACCTCTTCACATGGTTGATTAAAGTGTGCAAAACATGTATTAAAAAATTCAAATTTCATGGTTGAGTTGTAGACCAAGTGAAACGTCCTCAAAGCTTCTTTAAAAACCTCTGCCCTAGCAGCAAAAAAGCGCGCCGAAGCTGAGAAAAAAAAGACCCGAAGTCCTATGCCACAGTCACACGAACATCTACGTTATACGTGAGCGAGCAGCGGATGGGCAGAACAATTCCCTATGCTCACTTAACAGGGCGCTGCCGATCGCTGAACTAGACACTTCGACTTTCCATCCAAGTCAGGGCCAACTATATGATAGTAATATATTTGATCAACATCAACAGGGCGTATGAGTTATAAACTTTATAACCAATTCGAAGACTCTTTACCGCGTTTTTTTTTATTTTTGAATGGTATACCTTACTCCTCAATCCGCAGCGTATAGGCAGATGAGAGTAGGACCTTTAAAATGTCCATACAAATGTGGACCGCCATAATGTACATAGAGGTGCGATCTGACAATTGTAAATTTAATCACTTGCCCCACGTTGGGCGCCAAAATAAGTGATCAAAGCTCTCTTTGGCAGTGTGAATTGTTCAATTAATTAATTTGTTTCACAAGATTTGCTGCGGGCTTGTATCAATCTAAAACTTTAAGTGAGTATGTGAGTGCTTTAATGGAAAATCGTATAAATTTTTATATTGGCAATACCTGATTACAGCTGATGGGATAACATATGTAAACATAACAGAAATTATAGCGCGGAATTTTCAAATACTGGTTTCATGACGTGTTTACAAAATCTTTGGGTCAAGTCCCCAAAAAATAGTTTAAATCATTATATTCTCTGCAAGGGTAAAAAATCTTTAGTTTTGCTTGTCAGTTTTACAGGAAAAATTTACTCTTTTTTTATATATTAGCTTATATAAGTTTTCAGATATATATTTTCGACCATTTTTTATCCCCGTAACTCGTAAAGTAAAAGGGTATACAAGAGTATGTAACAGGTAGAAGAAGTATATATGTTCGTTTGCCGCTCACAGTTTTGGAGGTATACAAAAAAATGTTGACATGTGACATGTGTTAGACTCGTCAATACCTATAGAATGACCTAAAAAGTTCTCCACGCCCACTCTAACGCCCACAACACTCCCAAGAAGATAAGCAGTGACGTCAGAGCCAGACAATAACAAATGTTTTTATGCATATCTGTGTGTAATTATGTAGTTGCAGGCCGAACTGCGCGGTAAAGTGAAAATCGCTGCCGCCACTAAGAAAAAGCAGCTGCGCATTCTGCTCTCTTTTTATTATAATTTTAACAGTTTGTCCCCTTTGTCTCCCCCTCTATCTCTCCAATAAATGCAATAACAATTTCAATTACCTAATTCTTATTATGTTAATATAAACTTTAAATGGTTTGGCGCGGAAGGGGGGCTTCTTGCTCTTTGCATTACCCCTCTCTCCATTGTGATATGTTGTGCATTCACATAATCATAAAAGAAAGAAACGGAAGATCGCTTGAAAAGGACTAAAAGGCAGTAAAAGGAGCGAAAACTTGTGCACGTAACAGCGCTGTAAACGAAACCCGTGTGCCTAATGCGATTTTTTCTATTTCTATAGCCTTTCTATTGTCCAGAAGTGACTAACAAGTGACTTCTACGCGATATATGTATGTATGTTTTGTTACTATCTTATAGAAGTTACTAAGAATTGATAGGACAAGCATAATTTTTGTCGTTCAGAAGTACGCCTACTCTAATTTCGTTAGCATTTAAGATTGAAGAGTCACTTCTTTCCTTTAACGGATGCATGTACTGTACATCTTCGAACGTCCCAATTTGGGGCATTTAAGATTATTGAGCAGCTGATGATGTAAAACAATTTTTATTCAATTAAACAATCTGTAAACGTTTGTAGTCCCGGAATGGCCAACCAAGAATTGCACTTCAACTTTTGGAGCCAATTTTTTCTTAAGCGTTTAATTCAGAAGAAGATATAACACAGGGTTTTCTCCCATCACAAACCTAAAAGGGAGTTTTACCTGGTATGGATGACGATTCGGTTAGGTTCTATAAATAAGTTGCGGCCTTAATGTCTTTAGCCCAAAAACGCTCGTCCAGGCAGAATGCAAAAGCATGCTGCATGCCTATCCATTTCCTTTACTTCATTTTGCAAAGGAGAATAAGGGACTGTTAACTTTCGTTTAATACCATTTTTAAAAAGAAGGTTTCAAACGCGTCACTTAGGTATTCTCGTCTGATATCGCTTCTTAGCCCGATCCACCGCTTATCAGATTGGTTATCCGCAAATGATTTGAATTTTTTAAATTTCCCTTATAATTACCCGTCCAAATTTGATGTAGTCTTTTATGCGATAGTTAGGCGATGTTTTTGCTGTGCAACTCTGAGTTCTTCTTCTTGACAGTGAGAATTGAAACATTCATTACGAAAACGTATACAATAATGACTGGGAACAATCGAAAACGGAAGGCGCAGAAGCAACAGGTTTGGTTAGATTAGCCAGATCAGCGGTTATCTGATGGTAGATGGTGGATGTGCTCTCTTGGCGCAGAGGCAACAGGTTTGGTTTGATTAGCCACAGGTCTTCAGATCAGCTGTTATCGGATGGTAGATGGTGGATGTGCCCTGTGGGAATCGGAGTTTCACATTTATCAAAAATCCCAACCGTTCGAACGGATGGACACTATGCGAAGGGTGTATAAAAAGATTTTTGGGTAGGGTTCGATAGGTTTGAATTCCTAAATATTGCAAAAGTTGCTTACTTTTGAAAATTGATCAATCCGTGAGCAACATGATAACTTAAAAACAGGAGCAAAATGCCAAACAAACAAGCTTAAATTTCCTCCTAAGTCCGTGTATATAGATCAACACAGTTCAATAGAACCAGTTGGACTTTTGTCGAAAATATGTAAATGTCATCTTGGATGACGAAATTATAGACTCGGCCATCCAACTAATATAGCTTCTGCTCTGTGAATCAATAATTAAAAATAATTTCAATACTCTAAGATAACAAAACATTCAATTTGTTAATGATTAACTTTTGTCCGTTTTATGTGTCCTTTCTTAAAAGTAATTGTCCTTTTTACCCACTTGCAGCACACCCTGAATACGATTTTTGCTTGTTAAAACTACCTTTATTTTTCCAGCGATTTTCTTTTACTTTATACTGCGCTGCCTTACATATGTCCACGACGACCATACAACCAGCTTGCCAATTCTTCTTTTGCCAATTTTCCGATTCGTTATTGTTCCTTTGTCGTCCTTGTCGCCTTTTTCAGAGCACTATCGCAAACTTCTTTGACAAGTTAACCATACACAACAGACCACAAGTCAGAGTGAATAAAGACTCTTCTCATTTGAACTACCCACGAACTGAAAATATCTCGTCGAGCTTGACGATTAAATGAAATGAAGATCCCATTTTCGTGGTTGTTCGAGTCACTAAATACAGAAAGTACAGATTATTATACCCATGCAGAGGAGACAGAAGTTAGCAGCGCAGGGAAGAGACGCTTCCGACCCCATAAAGTATATATATTTTTGATCAGCATCACTAGTCGAGTTGATCTAGCCATGTCTGTCGATCCGTTTCTACCCAAGTTAATCTCTTAGTTTGAAAGCTATGGTAATGAAACCTTTCCAAAAGTCGTATTTCTAATGCAGGTAGTATATAAGTCGGATCGGACAACTATATCCTATAGATCCATAAGAATAAATGAATGATTGTAAAAATATTCTCTAAAAATGAAAAAAATATAACTTTGGTTTTTTTTGACATATTAACTTATACTCTTGGGAATATTATTCTTTTATTATTTTAGAATTTCGATAAAAGCTTAAAACAAATCAGACGACGTTATCTTACAGCTGCCATAGAAAAGATGAGATAATTAATGCTAAAATAATGCATAGACCGATATATTTCGTTTTCGGTAAATGTATATACGGTAGTAAAATAAAATGGAACATTATCTTAAAATTTCTGTAATTAGTTTTTAGTTTTCCCGTATGAATGCTGTGATCTCAAAAACTATAAGAGCTAGAGGGTTGAGATTTTATTATTAGATTCTTTACCTTCTGATTCAACGTAATTTATATCCGAACGTCTGGATATTTTTGACGAAATATATTAAAACATGTTTCAGAAATCGCTTGGTTACCAATATATTAGCCGATAGTACGGAGTAGTACGGAATAGTACGGAAGTGGATGTTGTTCAAAAGACACTAAATAATATACTAAAGATCAAGTATGTTGAACTAGTTTTCAGAGTTTTGCAGAGTTATCCGATTTTTTATACTAAGGACCGAAGTCACATTTTAAATGATAAAACATACCAATTTGTCAATTGGTTACGGAATATTATCAACATTTGTAATTGATATAACTCTTAATCATATTATATATATTCATATTAGTTTTATATGACCAATTTGAGATCTTAAGATTGAGCAGACAATATCACTCTTCTTTTTAAATAAATGCACGAAGTAATTAATATTGGTGAGACAAGATGGCACTCAATATATTTATATCCTTCCTCGACTTTCGATTCTTATATTTGTCACTTTATTTACTTACATGATTTCTATACACACGGAATAAACACGGCGTCGACATATGATAATGATTTTTTCACATAACCCTTATGATGCATGATTTTAACAACTTCATAATTATACTAACGGCAGAAAAAACTATTGTTGGCTAATAATCCATTTCTAGCCAAATATGAAAAAAAAAACGCTGTCAACGGTAAAAACAACAACAGGATGTTGCGACGGAAAACCATTAGTAACCCGTACGAACATATCCAAAAGCATCAATATGCAGGCCCTAGCGACAATTGTGCTCCCTCCAGAGAAAACCAAGGCTTCCATTCAGATGCCAATCAAATTCACAGTTCTGGCCCCAAATTTGAATCGGGTGATTCACAAACAGCATCACCAGAGCAAATGAAAATTATCAGCCATGCAGCTCAAACTACCAGCAGAAAGATCGGGAATCGTGCCGACCGACAAGTGTTAATTGTGCCCGAGATTTCTTCAAACGTCATAATAGGTTCTTCCGATGATGGGGAATATGATTGCCTAGTGGCTCGACGGCCTATACGCCTACCGTTGCGTAAGCATCACACCTTTCACTTCCAAAACACACAGACAGCTAATGGCAAGTTATGTGAGCTGCGGGAGCTACTGCAACTGCAGATGCAAGAAAGGGCTAAATTCGAACAAGAAGAGGTTCCTTTAGTAATTGGTCCGGTGGAGTTAAGTGAACAACACGCCTTTAAGCCGATTTCACCAACACCTACATTGACAGCTTCGGCAGAGCAGAAGACACGATATCAGAATCAAAATGACTTTCCTTTCTCTCAAAATGAAGATGATGAAGATCTTGGATACAGTTTCTGTGAAGAAGAATGCATGGTAGACAGCGATAACTATCCCACCTCGGACAATCGTAGTACTGCCCTGCTTCAAACTCCATTACATCGAAAGCTATTTAAAACGAGACTGCATGTGCTCTGGATACTTTATATAGCAAAGCAGTTGTGAAGTTCATATTTAGATATAAAATTAAAAATTAAAACAAGCCTAAGTGACGCAGACAAGGTATTTTATATTGAACATAGTTAGCATTTAATTAAACAATAAATATGTAAAAACTGTTTACTAAAAACCAAAACCAAATTGTAATATTGTCAGTGGAACAATATAAAAAAATGTTTAATGTTTTTTAAAATGTGTATACCCGTTACTCTTACAGCAAAAGTCTAAGTTGTATGTTGATGTTGTAAATTGTATGTAACAGGTAGAAGGGCGCATTTACGACCCTATTAAGTGTGGAATTATGGTGGTATGTTGATGCTCACTATTCTAGTTGATTTTCTTCATTCTGTCTGTCTGTCTGTAAACGTGCTCAGTGCCCCTCGATTTCCTATGCCCACAAATCGAAAAAATCTGTACCACCCAATGTTTTAATGTTTAATTTTTTGGTTCTGATTTAAATTAATTTCAACATTGCTACAAATTTCAACAAAATTCTGCTTTCATTTTATTGAAATGCATTTATTTTGTCAGTACCCATAGATTTGGTTAACAGAGTAACGGGTGTTAGATTTAATATAGTCGAGACACTCGACTATAGCTTTTCTCCTTGCTTAGAATTCAATTGGTAAATATGACTGAAGTTTTGTAGCCTATTTAGACATAAATACATTGATACTTTATATGAAAAAAGTAGAATATTTACAATGTTATCCCACAACTTAGCTGAGCAGTTTTTCTTTGTTTTTAACTCTTCTTATTCCCTTTGATATTCCCCCCCATTTTTTATAAACAGTAATGTACGAATCAATATAACAAGCCAATGTTAAACATATAATGTCCGAAAAATATACGATTTATACAAAAGACAAGGGTGTTACTTTCTCGGTAAGGCTTACATTACAAATAAACAATGTAAAGTTTTTCTGATTAAACGTTAAGTGAACAAGTCAAAACAAGGAAGAACGATATAGTCGTGGGTCTCGACTCTTAGATACCCGTTACTTAGCTAATAGGAGCAAAAGGGAAATGGAGATGTACAGCAGCGAAACAAGATTGTACAGCGCCACCTATACGCGATTTCAACACATGGTCATGTGGGCGGTAAACATTTTAGGTTTATGACAATCAATATGTATTGACGAGATCTATATATTTCAGCTAAAAGAATTTCTATCACTAACTTTGTACGTGACACATTAGGTAATAAAACTTGCGCTGCGTACAAAGCAAAGGAATCGAAATCTTAAGTCCCAACTCTCTAGCTTTGATTGTTTCCGGGATATGAGTTTTCATGTGGACTATTTTTTGAAGTTTGTGGGCGTTAGTGAGCGCGGCAACAGTTTTTCAGGTCAATTGATAGGTATTTTTTAGACCAAATATTTTGTAGTTAATTTTTTCTTGCTTTTAAATTGTAGAATCCACAGATTTAGGCGGTTTGTGGGTGTGGCATGTTCGCGTACAAACTTGCGCTGCGTACCATACTAAGGAACCTAAATCTGCAATCTCAACTCTCTATATTTTTCCGAGATCATAGCGTTCGTACGGACAGACGGTCACTCGGACAGGCGGACTTGGCTAGATCGACAGAAATAAAGCTAGTTGATCTATTAAACTGGCCAAGTTCTTTACGAATTGCCAAGCTTTATCGTCTTCTGGAATTAAATCACCTACCATTAGTGGAAATATATAACAAAAGCTAATAGCTCCCTTGCGGAAGCTTTATGTTAAATTTTTTAATTTAATTTGAAATGCTGGCCAAATATTTAGTATTTCTAAATAGTCCTACAAAAATTAGTTTAAGTTTCGATTAATGTTTCCAAATCAAAAGTGTAATTGATAACGAAATATAAAAAAACGTGACACATCTCATATCTAAAAATCCCTTCGAAGACATCATTTAATATGTCCTCTGCTAAATTGTAGTTAAAGTGCATTAAGTTGTTAAAAACGCTGTCGGTGTTAGTTCCGGTCAAATTAACCAACAAGTGGCAAATTATTAAAAGCTTTGAGTTTTTTAAGTTCTAAAGGGTGGAGAAACGTAAACTAGCAGTGGACAAACGATAAAGTTTTTGGTTTAAAATTCTAAAAATTATTTATCTTCCGGTGTTTTTGACATATTAACTTTTACTTCTTCTATATTTAACATTATTCAGTAATAGTCTAGAAGAGGGGCATGTGTGCCAAAAATCGTGAAAAAATTACCCTCGATGGCGGAAATGCATGGTTCTCTTGAATTGCTTTTTAAGTTGCGTGTTTTGCTATATCAACCAAAGCAATTTCTGGGATTTTGGGGTGTTTTGTGTAGTTTTGCTTTCCATTCGTTGTCAAATTAATAAAAAAAAATTCGAAAAACAAAATTTGACAAAAATCTGTAATTGTTTTATAGCAGGCCAGACCCCACAACCGCGAATAAAATATTCTCGATGGGCCGTGATTCCCAAAGAACTCGAGCGACCATGGATGACCAACATAAACATTTTTAAAAATAAATCTGAAGAAATCGCGGTCCAATGAGGATCAACTATTTTATGCTTTTTTGGGGGTCTTAGTCGCCATCAAAGCCAATTACGAAAGTTGTTATCAACTGGTTCAGTACCTTCTTATACTTGTAATTAATTTGTAATAGTGAATAAAATTCTGGTAATACTCTAGATTAGGGAAAAAAATTCGCGAAAAAATTACCCTCGATGAACTGCGATTTCTTAAGAATTTACGTGCAAATTGAACTTGGCGGTCGGACATGGTTCTCTTGTAATTGAAATTCAAAGTTCCCGGATTTGCTATAAAAAACCAGGGTGCTTTTCTCAAATATTCAATCGATGTAATTATGCTTTAATAAGTAGTTATACAATTAATTAAATTTTCAAATGAGTTCCTATAGAAATCTGTAACATTTTTTCATTAAATAAAAAATGTTATTTTTTGTCTAGTGAAAAAGCATTACCAAATAATAATGTTTTACGTGGAGTGCGGTCTATGAAGGACACATGATTTATGTCACAATGTTGTATCGGCCATGAGCGATCCACGGTCCCCCACCATTTTAAATGCATTAAATAACACTCCAACAATTTGTATCTTTATATTTATTCAAATAATTTCAATGAACACTTTCCGAACCATCATTGAGTAATGTTCCTGGCTTGTTTTTTTATATGGTGTCCCCCTCTAGTCCACATTGCAGAGTGTTTAATTAACAACTTAGTCGACATCGGAGTATTCTATATGAAAAATTGTAGGATTACATATGTTAAATATGAAATCATATACGATGTTTTGATTTTATATTTAACATACATCATATGACTTGCTCTTCGGCCTGAAAATATCCGCCACGGCTGTAAAGAAGAAATGGAGGCACAGGGTGTGCGGGTAGTGCTTCCTTAAAAAGGCGAAGCGCGCCAAATATCCACTCTTTCGGCCATAGTGCTGAAAGTTTTCTTAAAGGTCCCGCCACAGACGCTCAATTTTTTTGCTGTTTGCCTTCGTGACTGGGTCAAAAAAATTGATGTAGTGGTTGACTTTCAGATGTTGATAGCCTGAGCCGTCCAACAGTCAAACGCTCTCCAGCAATCGGGGACGACAAAAGTCGTCCGTCTCGCCGGTCGATGCCACTGAACACCCACTGACCCTTGATTATTCGGCCGCAATTATTCTAACTGCGACCAATCTTTGTCTCATCAACTTTCATAGTCGCACCAACGCCTTCGATTGCGTTCTTAACCCTTTTCTCCGACCAATCTATATAGATTTTCCCTGAGAAAGTTGCCCAATCAGCCATCCTTCAAAAATGAGTATGTGAAGCCCTTCAAGTTCCACGCAATGAACTTGCATGCCTCACTGCAGGGCACATGAGAATTTTCAAAAAATTTGTTTTTGAAGGCACTTTCCTAAGAAATTACTTTTTTAATATATAATATTTGAATATATATGAATGAAAATCTTGCCTTAAATGGACACTGCCTCTTTATTTTCTTCTTTTTGTTCGAACTTTCAACCTTCGCCGGCAGACCCACTTTATCTTTCCATCATCCTTCATTATTTTGCATAGGGTACAGCATGTTGGACAGACCCGCTGGTCCAAAACAATCCCGTGGTCTTGAAGGAAGCCGGAAATCAGCTTTACCATCCATGCAGAGAAAATCTCCAAACGTTAGAAAGCAGCATTGGCACGTCATGTTGAACAGAATTAATCAATAAACAACAATTTTTGATACAAATTTCAATATTACATAAAATTTAAAGACAACTCGATTTTATTGCAAGCATGAGAAAAGCACATTTGTTTTTTATAGCACAACCAGGAACTTTGAAATTCAATTACAAGAGAACCATGTACGTCCACCGAGGATAATTTTTTCACGAATTTCGGGGGTGAGTCCCCTAATCTAGAGTATTACTGAAATTCTTTATGAACTTATGGTTAATGATTTGACAGAAAATATTTATTATAAAAAATGCTGGTTATAATGCCAAAAAATATCAAATTGGCTTCTTAAAGTATTTCTTTTCTTTCTCACTAAAACCCATCACTCGGACAGTACAAAGGTACATTGTTTTATTGTTGTGGTTTCTCTAATAAAAGCATACTCCACATTGCAAACCAATTTCAGTGCTACAGATTAAGTCTATTCCTTTTCGTTGTCCGTATCGGTGATTCCTAAAATTCAAGATAGTAAATTGTAAGTATTTAAAAAAAAGAAGAGATGTGATTAAATTGCATATGATTAATGCATGATTAAAATGCATTGAGTCATTTCTCTTCTTTTTGTAAATACTAACATTGCGTTCAGGATTATACAATTGCCAATTGCCTGAGAAAAATGAGTAATTCGCGCTAGGTATCCTCTGTTTTCCGGCCCATAGTGAGGAACATTCTCCTTCAGATCACGCCATAGTCTCCTCCGATCAGGTCCACCGGAAGTGAACTGAATGATTAACGGTCATGTGGGAGTAATTTTGAATCCTTCAAACCATGGTATGGGCTTCCAGCAATCGGATATAATTGTGGTTCTATTGTCGACGTTGGCCTCAATAATCGGAAGAAGCGTTCCCCTGGCTAC